GTGTTCGCCAGGATGGTCTCGATCTCCTGACCTTGTGATCCGCCCGTCTCGGCCTCCCAAAGTGCTGGGATTACAGGCTTGAGCCACCGCGCCCGGCCTAATTTTTGTATTTTTAGTAGAGATGGGGTTTCGCCATGTTGGCCAGGCTGGTCTCGAGCTCCTGATCTCAGGTGATCCGCCCACCTCGGCTTCCCAAAGTGCTGGGATTACAGGGGTGAGCCACTGCAGCTGGCCTCTCTCCCCGTCTTTTATTGTAGCCCTATGAATTCTCATCAACCTGGGCCCAGACTCAGGAGGCCAAAAAGTCACCAGCAGAGCCCAGCACATGTGAGGAAAGCCAGAGACACGGTGGCGCCAGCCTGAAGATCCTTCGCAAGACTCTGGGCCACCGTAGCCCCCCAGATCTTGCAGGTTGCCAGGGTGCCAGGCCAGGGAGGGGGCCTTTCTGAGATTCTCCTCATTCTGACACAGGGGAGGAGGGCACTGACCCAGTCCCAAGGTCCCGGGGGAATCGGCCGACCACAGGCCAGGACTGTCCCACCTGGGCAGAGAGCCCATCCTGGGTGCCCAGCCCGGGCAGGCCCAGGCACCCCCAGCAGTGCCCCGGGCAGCACCTGCCCGCCAGGTAGTGCAGGGTGAGGTCGGGCAGGGCAGGGCGCGGCAGGTCAGCTGAGCAAACAGCTCCGAGGGAGAGCTGGGGAGGGCTGGGAACTAGGTCGATAGAAACAGGAACTGTGTTAGGGAGGGGATGCCCTGCTGGTCATGCCCAGCCCTGACTCCTGCCCTCTGAGGGGGCTTCCCCCACCCCTGCTGACAGCCCCAGGACCGGCCCCTGCCAGGAGGCTGACCTGCCAGGAGTGACCGCCCCAGACTCGAGCCCCTGGGAGGCAGGTCCTGAGTTCCCTTTTCCTGCTCAGACCCCCAGGGAAACGCAGGCTGCGCCAGAGGCAGCTGCACAGACCCCCTGCACTGGGGTGCTCGGTGGAGAGCGCTGGAGGTGGGAGGGAGGATGTGTGAGGACGGCAGCGGGAGAGAATCCAGGCTTCCCCCACAACATCCACCAGCAATGGGGCAGAGCGGGGGTGGGCGGCACGGGAGCCTTCCCGCTCCGCAGAACCAGGCCCTGGGCAGAGCTGGCCTACAACGTCACCGGACAAGTCCTCCTCCATCTTGGTGACAGAGGGAGCTGGGCCTCCCTCCACCCACCCGCTGCCACTTCTGAAGCAGCCACAGGGAGACTGGGAGGGGCAGGGGTGCTGGGGGTGAGCGTGGGGCTCAGCCCTCCCTCTTCCCACCCTTGGGGGCTGCCTCCTTCCAGCCCACCTGGAAGGGCGGTGTCAGTCCCAGAGCCCCTGCACTCCCCGCCCACCTCTCACAGCTGCAGCCCGCATGGGAACCGCACCCAGCATCCCAGGGACAAACACAGAGGCCTCAGATGGTGGCGGTACCAAGGTCTGACGCCTGGCAGCTCAAGGGCACCCCCGTCCCTGAGAGGAAGTCATAAGAAGGGGAGGCACCCCCACCCCCTGCCGCAACCACCAGGGACCTCGCTGACGATGCCCACGGAGAGAAACCAGGCTGGTGCTGGGAGGGGACAGACCTCAGGCCTCATCAGAAGTCACTGCCTGCCTTTCCCCAGGCCCTTCCCTCCCGTCTGGGACATTCTTGACCCCAGGCACCCAGCGAGACCAGGAGCCCACCCCTTTCCTTTCCCAGAAGGCACACCAGTGACTCTGCATATCCTCCTCTTCCCGCCTGCTGGAGGGACCAGCACCAAAACAGGAATGTTCGCCCTGCCAGGCCTTCTCTCCAAAGAGTCAGAGAGAGCCCCGAAGGGGGATGGACTTCCCGGACCCCCTGCCGTGGAAGGGCGGTGGAAACACAGAGAGGCGGCAAAGGCTTTTCAGGCCCCCTCTTGCACAAACCAGCTCAGAGAGCAGAGATCTTTGGGATCAATTCCTTTCCCTCCCCAGGCATCCGAAGCCTGTCCTAGCCCGGGTGTGGATGAGATGGGAGAGACGGGGGAGGAGGGAGAGGAGCAGGACTGGACCCCCGTGTGACAAACATCTGACGAGTTGCTCTGAGGACCCTCCCTCCCTGCGGAGCCCACCTCATCTGGTGTGCATTTCCCTGTGGCTTTCATCCAGCCCCGGGCAACCCTCCCTCCTCCGTCTCAGCCTCCCTCCTCCTGCCCCACACCTCGGGTCTGAGACTCGCAGATCCCAAAAGGGCCTGGCAGATGCCAAAGCCAGAAAGTGCAGGGGGACTGCATCCCCCACAGGAGCCCAGGTCCCTCCCCGCTACATACTCGGACCCCACTCCGTGCACCCACTGCTCTTGCAAACCAGGAACTAAGGGGTTCCCCTACCCACCCTGCTCCTTGCCGCTTCTTGCTTTTGTTTTGTTTGTTTTTGAGACAGAGCTGCACTCCAGGTGACTCCTGTCACCCTGGCTGGAGTGCAGTGGCGCTATCTCAGCTCACTACAACCTCTGCCTCCCCGGTTCAAGCGATTCTCCTGCCTCAGCCTCCCAAGTAGCTGGGATTACAGGCACCCACCACCATGCCTGGCTAATTTTTGTATTTTTAGTAGAGATGGGGTTTCACGACATTAGCCAGGCTGGTCTCAAACTCCTGACCTCAGGTAATCCACCTGCCTCAGCCTCCCAAATTGCTGGGATTACAGGCATGAGCCACTGTGCCTGACCCTCCTCTTGCTTTTCTAAAAGATTACGGTCAAAGTACAGCCCCCATTTGCCCCCAGACAGGGCACCCTTCGCAGACGGAGACCTTGGGGAGTCTGCGTGAACCCCGCACCTGGCAGACAAAGGTGCTTCACTAGTGGGTGAACAGCTAAGCATGTGCTGAGCTCGGGGGCACTTGTGGGCTACAGTCCCCAAATGGGAGGCCCCGCAAGAGCCTGGATGAGCTGACTGAGGTGGAGAGGTGGGAAGGAAGGCCTATGGCCAAAGTCAACCCAGGACCCACCTGCCGAGGCCACAGGAAGGCCAGGTCACCGCCTAGAACTAGGTCGGTCACAGCCCAGGGGGAGCAGTGGCCCAGAGACTCAAGTGGGGGCCCTGGCTACTCCTCTCTGCTCGCCTCCCCACAGCCAGCACCCAGAACAGAGCTTGCAGGCACCGGGGGCCCAGCCCAGGGTCTGAAGAGCAGACAATGCTGCCTTGCAGTTGGGGAAACTGAGACAGGGTGCGAACTTTCAGAGGCTCACTGCAGGCTCGTAGCAGGCTGAAAGGACGGAGGCACAGGCACCTAGGGGCACACCAGCCCCACATGGCCACGCCCCCTCGGACAGCACCAGGACACCGGTAGTCCAGAAGTTCAGCGGGCCCAGCTCTACTGGCTCTGCAGTGCCCAGTGAGGGGTCGGCATGGCTGGTCCAAGGGAAAACCCCAGAGGCCACAGGACCTGACCCTTGGAATTCTCCATACCCACCCCTTCCCCTTCTAAAACACGACGAAGTCAAGAGTCTACCAGAGCAGTCACTCTCCTGTACCCCCTCCAACCCCGGGCACGTCACTGTCCCTGGAACCCCACCCCCAGGGCTAAGGAGCTGACCCCCAGGCTGGGCCTGGCCTCGGCTGCCTCTCATCCTCCCCAGACTGATCCCCCAGGGCTGGACACATGCCCAGGGCGGGCCTGGACTGGCCTCACGAGCCTGGGCTCTTCCAGAACCCTCTAGGACTAAACCCAACCCTAGCTTCCCCTGGGGCTCCTCACAGCCCAGCTCAGATCCCACCCCAGTCTCTTGTCAAAGCTCATGGGGTCAGGGGTGGCTCTGAAATGTTTACTCCACTTAACTGCACATCCTCAACCCAAAGCCCCTTCTCCCCTTCTCCCTCCCGCCCCTCCGCTCCTCCCCCACTTCTAGCTTGGCAGCCCCTCCTCCCCTCCTCCCTGCAGCAGTGATTAGGGATGCATTCTGACCCCTGCCTGCTGTCAGGAGAGAGAGGTCTCTCCCTGGAGCCTGAGCTGAGGATGCCTGATTCAGCCAGGTGAGCCCCACGATGGACTCCACATCCCCTAGCCACCACCTGACTTCCCCAGCACCCCACGCTGGCACCAGCCCTTCAGATCTCAGAAGCGAGCCCCCTTCCTCTCACAGAGCCCCTCCCTGCCTGCCCTCCAAACCCAAGAGTTTTAGTACAAAAGGCAAAGTTAACAAATAGGGGTAGGCGTGAGGGGAGGAAGAGGATCAGAGGATCAGGAACGGAGAAACGGGGGCACCTGGAGAAGTGTCTGGGTCCTGCCGCCCCAACTGACTCCCCAGGTGGCCTTGGGCAGGGTCCTCTCGGCAGGGGCTCGGTCAAAGCTCGGGGATGAGCAGCCACCAGCGCAGGCTGCTTCAGCTGGGGCTTCGTGCTCCCCACATTCCACTGCCACACCCCATGTCCATCATGGGTAGAGGCAGGACAGCCACAGAGCCCCATGTATGGGGCTGGACTCACCCTGCGCACTCCCGGAAAAGCAGTCTCCTCCTTTCCAAAGCCCAGACTTTCTCCGGACTACCAGGACCACCAAGAAAGATTCCACTGCCCAGACTCGGGGGTCTTGGGGAGGAAGGACGCTTTCTAGGTGGCTGCCTGGAACCTAGAGGCCCCTTTCTACGGCACCTGGCCAGCGGTCAGAGAGTCACACCTCCTTGCCCAGAGTGACAGGGCGGGAGAGGCATTTCTAATGCTGCCAGGTAATCCCACGGGCTGGAAACGACCTCCGGTCTGGGATGGCACCGCCTCCCCCAGTCCTGCTGGGTCCCTCAGCAGAGCGAACGGAACCAGGGCTTTCCCCAAAGTTTTCATAGTTTCAGGGAATCCTAACTAGGTATCACTCCTTCTTCCGGAGCCACGACCCCAGCTCAGGCCTGGGCCCCCCACAGGGCGGTCCCAACCCCACTGCCCGGAAACCTCGCCCCGCTGCTCCCCGGGGCGCACGATGCCCTCCCCGGGAAGGTGCCGGTCAGGGCGGACAGGCCAGGGTGCTCACCGGTACCAGGCGAGGCCACGCTCGTAGCACCTGTCAAAGAAGTGGGGCTCAGAGCCGAGCGCGCGGACGTCGGGGTGCAGCCGCAGGAACTCCAGCAGGGCGCGCGTGCCGCCCTTCTTCACGCCCACGATGAG